CACCTGTCGCCTCATCAAATTTATCCACCTCTTGAAGGCAAACGACATCACCTTGAACAAACACCATCTGCTTCAAAATGTTCTTCCTTCTGCTGGGCCACGCCAAACAGTCAGGATGAATGCGAGAATACATGTCACACGAGTGTTCCTCGGCTAACGATCCGGCGAGGATATTATAAGACATGAACACAAACGCATCACCTCATTCAGAAGCCGGCACAAAGCTATGTCTATATGACCAGGTCCTCTCCTCAAAGTCCTGCAAGCCCTGTGGGGTTGTCCCTCCAGCCTCTGCTTCCTTTTCCCCACCCTCCTCCTGATCCCCAGCCTCATCCTCCTCCCCCTACCCACTGCAGCCTCCACGTCTTCCTCCTGCCCGACGCCCTTCTGGACCTCCCCAGCCTGCCTGTCTACCATTGTTCCAACCGCTCGCCTGGGCGGGGTAGCTCCCACCAGAGATAGCTGTATTTGCTCCCCCCACACCTGCTGGCCCGGCAGCACCACCATTGTTCCCCACCCAGCCAAATATGTCGCCCCCACTGCCACAGACTCTCCGATCGCTGCTGTGGCTCACGGTCAATCTAGCAAATGCCATGACCATTTCGTCGAAATGGACATTTTTTATTTTTTGAACGAAATTGAAACCGAGTTTTTTGGCCCAAAACTCGTCAAAATTTGCTGTTCCTGAGGGTCCAGCGTTTGTACATGGACCTAGCTTGAGACCAGGCACCTCCAGGCAGGACTGCCTGGCGGTACCTGGTCTCAAGCTAGGTCCATGTACAGCCAGGGGGTCCAGCGTTTTACAAATGCCGGACCCTCCGGAACAGCAAATTTTGACGAGTTTTGGGCCAAAAAAACTCGGTTTCAATTTCGTTCAGAAAATAAAAGATGTCCATTTTGACGAAATGGCAGTGTCGCAGTCCTTGTCAAAGCAATCCACCGCTTACCGACTCATGTCCATTTGTTGATCTGTTGCTTCCGCCGCCATACCAAATCCCTGAAGGTGGCTCATACCTTTGCGCTCTGTTGTTCTTTTCAGAGTTGAGAGTGCAAGACCAAAGCTGCCATACATCTGCCCTCCAGGACTTGGGAAACACAATTCCTGCTCACATCTGTTGGTAGCCGCCCCCCCCCTCCCATCACCCTACCTCCCGTATCCATCACCTCCCCCAGCATCTGCCATGCTGCTCACCCAATTCCCATCAAACCAGAGCCGTCTGATTGGTAACGATCCTGCTGTTCCCGTTCCCTGATCCCCCGGCCATGTCCATCTGAGTACCCCTTCCATGAGCAGCATCACTGCCGATGGACCGGCGATGGTACTACACCTCATCTCCGTTCCCTTGGCCATTGATGAACCAAGCTCTGGCCATTCATTCCGATTACCACACACATCTCCCGACTGTGTCACATGACCCTGATGATCTGTGGCACTCCCTCCTTCCCATCGCCCCTCCCCTCGTCCTTGCATACTTCCCTATCGTGCCTCCCCTCCTCCACAATTGGTTAACGGGGACCCCCATTTTCAGGCCCTGGGTAACGAGTCCAAAACTGAAATTAGGGTTTCGGGGTTAACCTTCTCTCCCCTCCTCCTCCTGGGAGTACAAACTGATCCTGATTTCAGATCCTGAAAGATGCAAGAATAACAGTATCTGATCCGGTGTTCAATGCCAAGGTACAAATTGTCTCGAGTGGGGCGGTGCTCCCACACTATCTGAATCTCCCTCGTCCTCATTATCCTCTGCGCTCCACCC